CAAGCTATATTTGCCGCAGACAAGCTTCGTGACTTGGAAAAACTGTGTAAAATATTTTATACAGAAAAAAATACTGGGGCTGAAACGGCAGAAACGTCCCGAACTAACAGGAACGTCAACCAATAAGTTACCAACAATACAGCCTTAAAATTGGTCGTTTCACAGCACCGAAGCTGCCTCGTCCCTCGTCGCTTCAGTTGGGAATAGAGAGCAGTGGAAAAACAATGGGATTGCGGGGCTTAATGGAAATTAATGACGACCGCGCGTACGGATAACGGATGAGGGACTGTGGAAGAATCAAGCACCGAAGTTTACAATCTCGTTCCCCGAGCCTGCGATCCTTGGGAAGGAACGTGAGGCTATGGGATAATCCATTTCAGGGAGGAATCAGTAATTGGCCGTTGATGTGAAATGCGCAGTTCGGTCTTAGCCAGGATTCCTGGCTTCCGGCAACGGATTATCCCGGAGCTTCACGTTCCTTCCCAAGGATCGCAGGCTCGGGGAACGAGATTTCGAAGTTATATATCGAACCAAAGGCTACTTGCGCAATGCAGTTAGGGGCGGCGCTAGAGAGGGTGTACATGTGTATTTGTGTAGGGGGGGGGGGGTGTCTACCGCCAGTTTGCCAGCCAGAAAACATGCCAGGATAGGAAAGAAAAAACTAACGAAATTGAGTGAGACTGATTAAAAACTGATAATTTAGCTAAAATTTATACTATTCCCCGTCGCCAAGATTTTGAGGAAAAATAATAATTACGAAGAAAAGTGTTTTATACGCAGAGGAAATGACTCGGCAAATTTCGCTTAGTCCCCCCCCCCACCCATTTAAAATAGGGCTAGCGCCGCTCCTGAACATTTATAGTTCACAATAAGTCCTCTCTTTTTAATTTTGATATACGAGCGACACTTGGAGCAAATCTACTTATCACTGATTAGTGGTGTAGTCCTAAGAATTTTAACAAGGTGGGCTTTATCAAGGTAGGCCTTGGGGCATGAACTGCAGGAAATTTATTTCCACATGTTTAAGATTACCAGCATTTTAAGTGATGTTATAATATGTAATATCATATTAAGACAAGAATCACTATAAGCCCTACAGAATTCATTATTCAGAATGCCGTCCTTAATTTAAATAAGGAAATTTAGCATTAACCATGTCTGCAGGGGCGGCGCTAGAAGGGAAGGGGGAGGGTGGAACATCCCCGGCCGTGGGGTAGTCGGAAAATTATTGTGTCTCAGCCGGCAAATCGTTTTCCCAATCGGCAAGAAACTGAATTGAACAGGAACGGGAAAAAGAAAAATGTACGTGTGAAACTGATTATAAACTAATAATTACGTACAGCTAAAATATGGGGAAATGTACGCAAAGAATAAGGAAAAAACGAAACGAGTGATGTTACCGCAACCCGAAAGATACTGAAAAATATAATGTCCGGAAAACGTTTTATCGTTTAAGCGCATTATGTTAATTAGCGGAAATTTTGTTTTAAATTAATATGCAGTGAAGAAGAATCGGCAAACTTATCACTTACACCCCCCCCCCAATTAAAATAGGTCTAGCGCGCCCCTGCATGTTCGATTCATAAACAATCTCGTACCCAGAGTATATGCCCGTTCGCAGGTTAGGTGTTGGGCATGCCCAGCACCTAACCTGCGAACGGGCATACTCTGGGTAGGAGATTGATTAAAAAATTGAATAGAAATAAATTGAATGTCAGAATGTGCTGTATTTCGATTTTACAATAATACCAAATCGTGATCATGGCTAAAATTTGTTATATTTGCTCGTTTTATTCCGTTCGTCGGCCTCGCTATTGCTGGAGACATTTCGTTCTCCTCTACCTATTATTTCCTGCATCAATCAATGTCTGAAAGAATTGGAAGGAACAGCGCTGGATTTCGTAGATAAAATGACCTCAAAAACCGTCGACGATTTTGATATTGACTAGCTTTAGTCAGGACAGTCTCATAGACAAACAACTTTGGGTTTATTACTCCTTATCTTTTAGTAGTTGTAGTGTTGAAATGAGCAACGAAAATGAGCCACGCCAAATCATAGAGTTGAAAAATGATTAGTTCAAGTCAAGACAATCTTGTCCTAGAGAAAGTACCTTTGGGTTCATTATTAACTCTTTGTTTTTAATTGTTGTAGTATTAAAATGAGCTGAGTGGTTTGATATTAAGTTTATGTCATTTGTCTTCAGTGGCGGAATTTTGCATCTTATAGCGCTCGACTATTAAGGAAGCAAAACTGAACTATAAAAATGTTACGTTTTGTCATATGTGTTGAAGATTACCACAAACACAGTTTTTAATCCAGTCCCCCCTCGGCATCTGACACCGGCCCGAGTTGACAAAAATGGTCGTTTGCTTAATCTCGCTTTTGCCATAATTAAATATTATTGACTAAAACTTTTGTGACTTTTGTGGACTCTAGACTGCCAAACTTTTCAACAGCTTCGCCTAGAGAAACATTGGTATAGTAATATCAATTGGCATCCCAGTCAATAAATGTTAAATATTTTTTCCTACAGGACGATCTTATTTTAGTGCATGCAACTTTAGCGCATATGAACTTATTATAGTGAAGTTTGCATTATCATTTCAAAAGATGACGTGTTGTGAGGGCCCTGAAGGGGTAAAATGGGAACTGGGATTGATCTATTTTTAGACTGGGAAAATGGGATTTGGGTTGCTGGGACTGGGATTTGGCCACTGGGAATGGGAAATGAAGTCCTCAAAAATGGGAATGGGATTGAGGTAATGCGAGTCAATTCCCAATTTTTCTGCGTTTTGAGTATTTTAAAATACAATTTTTATCCGTTTTTGGTGTCTTTGGTCCTGATTTTTGTTGTTAACTATATTATTTACAACACTACCTGCGAACAGGCATACTCTGGCGCCCGGAATTCAGGGTTTTCTGATTATGCGTGTCTCAGAATGCTGCAAATGCCATTTCCGGGATTTAAATTTAAAAACTTTCCGTGCCTTCGACACGAACACCCCCCTATTATTTCATAAAGTGTCCGCCACTTGCTTAAAAGGTCTTAAAACTGTTTATTCTACCGATAAATAAAGAGTTTTTTATTGACTGGGATTTCAATAACTGGGACTGGGATTTCTGATAAAAATCCAACTGGGACTGGGATTTTGCCAAAATTTCAGGTGGGAAATGGGATTGGGACCCCCCCCCCTTCAGGACCCTCTGTTGTATATTAAAGGAATGTAAAGGGGAAAAGCAAAGCGAAATATCAAGTATAAGTAATAAGACAAAATATTTCTGCCGTGCTCCTTTGAAACAGCTCCAAAATAAACTATTTAGGTTTTAGCATATTATATAACTTTTATATCGTAGTCAAATTTTGAACAATTAAAATCATGTGATTGTGAAACCAACTGCCACTGGGCCCTTTTTCTTGGAAAATGAATTACTGGAAAACCGTATTATTATGTAAACTTTTGACGGTTGACGAGATTTGACGGTTGATTAGCTATGCTTTTATTACCAGCTGTGCAAACATATATACAAACACCGAAATGGCGTCGTGGCATATTAATACTTCAGCTGAGATTTCTATGTTTTATATGGGGACTTTTTACGTTGGTTTGAGAATTTTTCATTATCAAAGCGTTAAAAAGGAGGAAAACCCCAAATGAAAATATATATACATGGAAACATGAAGAACTGTGAAGGAAAATACAAATGTTTGTCAAATAATCTTTGAAAACAGCAACAGGTAAAGAGAATTTATATCAATATCGACGGTGATTTTAAAAAAATTGTTTTCATTTCAAATTAGTCTTCAAATTTCCGTTTGAAATAATTTTATGAATGAAATAAAAAACATTTGCAATACATCAAAAATGTGTATGCAATTATAAATAACATGCAACACTAGTTTTTGCATACAAGTCTGTAAGACTATACAGTATGTACTGTAGCCTCGTGTTCCAAGATCCGCCATGTAAAGAGTATAGTGAAGTACTAATCGTAATCATGCAAAGTCAACAGAAGCCTCTGCGGAGGAGAGAGGTATATGTATAGCTGTCTAGACGCATGAAACTGGTTATAGTTTTTTGATTACGTCACAAAATTCTAAATTTCTGCAATCTTGGACAGAACACTGAGGCCATTCCTCGCATTAATGCAAAGTTTGATTAATGTACAGTGACAAAGCAAACTTTGTGTACCCTCTCCCCCGGCCCACACAGTTCAATATACTGTAAACAGCGGCAAGACAGTTTTTAGTGATATACTATATGACACAAGCTGAACATTGGTTGGAAGGGTGGGAATTTATCATTACAGTCAAACCGGATGTTCTCTTGCGAGCAACATTGCAATATTGTCCCACAATATTGCAATTTTGATAGGGAGATCATTGGCACATGTTTTTAAACTTTATCGCTATTCCCTTTTATGCCCCTTTTGCAGTTGTAATAATTCGTTCATTTTACGCTTGCTTTTGCTTGGCTTTGCTTTGCTTTGCTTTGCTTTGCTAGTTTGTCTAATCAACCGCGTTTATTTTGTTGCTCTTGGGAACTGTGTGACCTGTTAAACCGTTTTAAATGGATGGATTATAGCCTATATGAAGCTTTGTATTGTAAAATTATGACAAGACAACATTATTTGCTTGCGCCATAAAGCAGCTGTCATGTCACTCGCCTTTTACTTGCATGGTACGCGACTTACGGGAAAACAGCATAAAAACTATTAAAATAATTTTAGCTGTATAAACGCCATTTGTAGAGAATTTCAGTCAATAACGGTTTATAAAACTTGTTTCGAATCAGACTATTTCTTCTGTAATTAATTCATAAAACAAATGAAAGAATTTTCATGTTTCCACAAGCTTATGCAACCTGGAAGACGGTTGGAGAACTGTCAAGCATACGAATACCTGATTATGCAAATCTTTATACTGATTTGTCCTTGAATTCTCCCAACCCAGTAGCTCGGTTGTATAGCCAAGGAAAGCGTCGTTTAAATTATTCACAGACTGAACATAGTCTAGGTAAGGTAGATTATATCAAAGCTAAAGGCTAGAGAAGATTCAAATCCTCTGACACTATGGACAACTCATCATGGGAGAATGTATTTATCGAAGACGTGAAAGGTAAATCGAGTAAGCGGAGTAACTCACAAGGCAACTTGCAAGACGAAATTAAAGAGTTGCTTATTGCCAGGCTCATACAATGGAAAGACGTAGAAGTAAAGTTCGGCGTAACAGGTGATTCTGGAGCTGGAAAGTCGAGCTTTATAAACGCCATAAGAGGGTGAGAGATCTGATTTTTCATTTTAACTAACATCATAACTTGACTAACATCATAACTTAACAAGTCGTTCTCAGCTTGACCTTGTAGCTCAGACGGTATAGAGCATCGTTCTAGAAATGCGAAGGTCGCGGGTTCGAATCCCAGCCGCGGTCAAGTAGAATTTTCTGCTTGCCCGGTTTGGTATACACTCGTCTGAAAACAACTCATAAACCGCTACATAACGTAACACGAGTGGATTCGTCAACGTAGGAAACCACAACATTCACATACAACATTGCCAGACTAATAGCTGGCTTTACGCATTGAAGGACTAACCTCCGAAATGCGAATAACATGATAACTTAACACGTCGTTCTCAGCTTGACCTTGTAGCTCAGAAGGTAGAGCATCGTTCTAGAAATGCGAAGGTCGCGGGTTCGAATTCCAGCCGCGGTCAAGTAGAATTTTCTGCTTGCCCGGTTTGGTATACACTCGTCTGAAAACAACTCATAAACCGCTATATAACGTAACACGAGTGGGTTCGTCAACGTGGGAAACCACAACATTCATATATATATATATATATATATATATATATATATATATATATATATATATATATATATATATATATATATATATATATATATATATATATATATATATGTATATACATATATATATATATATATATATATATATATATATATATATATATATATATATATATATATATATATATATATATATATATATATATATATATATATATATATATATATATATATATATATATATATATATATCGCAAAACCCACAACGTATACTAGCCATGACGAAAATACACTGCCTTGTATTTCGCTTGGCCATGACGAATTCAAAAATGTATCCACATGGGGTAGGCTGGTTTTAAAATTAATCATATTTTAATGACTCTGTAATATGCAAATATCGACCATGCGTAACAACGGCGTTGACAAGCATGTTAACTTGGGTTTAGCAACTGCTAAGTTCTGTTTAAGACATGTTTTGATTTTTGTTTCTGCTTGGAAATTTATTACTCATAACGACTCCTTTAAGAGCAGCCAAATTCATTAAAAGAATTGAAACGAATTTCGTGGAACACTAATTAATGATAGTAATTTACAGTAATACAGTAGTACCTCTCTGTGGAAAGCACTAATGGCCATACCGCGGTGAAACTCTTTCTTTTACTAAAGTTAATTTAAAGCTATTATTTTAATTGAATATAATACAATTAAAAAATAAACCTGACCCTAACTCTAACTCTAACCAAAAGGTATTGTATAAAGGCAATCTTAGGAAAAATGTTAAAGAAATTATTTATAAAGATGAGAACGAAAAACAAAACATTGGCCATTGCGGTATTCGAACCGCCAATTAGGAGCATGTAACAACGCAACGCCCTTGACAACCACGTAACCGGCACTTGCTGAAATACAAACAAAAATGAAATACATACAAAACCTTAGGCCTGTTTTATACGTTGAATTGCGGTTACGTCGAACGCAATACAAACGAAATAGATAGTAAGATGATAAACCTCATTAAGCTTCATTATCTATTGTTTGAATTGCATTCGACGCGACCGAAATTTGACGTATAAAAAGGCCTTAGGCATTGAATTGGACCAGCTCTTATCTTGGAATGAAGATATTATCATGGTTACTGAAAAAGTAGCCAAGGTAATTGGAGCTCTTAGGCGATGGTAATTGGAACTCTCAGGCGATGTCAGTCCTTACCATTATTTATAAGTTTTCGATCCAACCACATTTTGATTTTTGCAGTAGCGTCTGGCGCAATTTAGGGAAGATCTAGGAATGAAAGTTTCAAAAATTACAAAATAGAGCTTTACGGATTATTACTGGGTGCGACTACTATGTTTGTTCAGCTCAGATTTTGAACTGGCTAAACTGGGAGCTAGAGAGAAGACGTTCTCAGCAATTTGGGGTCTTAATGTATAAAACAATTAACAAAATGGTGGCCCAATTAGTATTAAATCTCTATAAGGCGATGATAAGTCTCTGTTCTTATTTGTGCACTACTGTTGACTATTAAAAGTGGCCAAATATTACGCCTAATTAAAGATGCGGTACAGTCCGATCTGCGCTTGTGCACAAAGGAGCCCTCTTTTTAATATGGAAACAGTTTATTTAGGTTTTTATTTCATTTTACGTTCTTGCAAAGCTTGAATGTTGTGTCTTGATAATTTATTATACTCTAGAATCATGAAAATATAAATAGTTGTCGAATAAAATTCAATATTTTGGATACCGAAATGTAAACAAAGCCTTTAACTTATTTAACTATCTAGGATGCATCCAATCTCTTTCCCGAGCATGCCCGCTCACAGGTTAAGGGTGGGCATAGCTCTGGAAAAATCGAGTTGGTTCAGGCCTGTGCATGATTGGCTAGCGGCAGATAGTACGTTGGATTTCAAACGTGAGTTCTACGCATGTTCGGCAATTGTTGCAAAATATAAACAAAGTTATAATAAATTTCCTTGACATTGGATTGTTCACCTTGCTCTCATGTACTACTGTATATGCACTGCAAAAAATCGAATTCTAGTCTAGAATAATATTCTTATTTTTTAGATTATTTTTCTTATTTTAAGTAAATATTTCTTATTAAGAAATATTTCAAGAAAAAAAATCTAGTTTTAAGAACAAAAATCTTAAAGTAAGAAAATATAACTAGGCAAGAATATTCGAGAGAATATTTTTCTTATTTTAAGAATAACATTTTTCCATCCTAGAATAATATTCTTATAATTAGAAAAACAATCTTGAAATGAAGTTTAACATTATTTATCGCATATATCAAAACCTTTCTTTCGGACGGCAACTTTTGCATGGCCGAAACGAGATATGATATTGAATTGAATTAAACCTAGTTCTATTGTATATCTTTCACTTTTTTTGTCACATTTGAAGCTGAACGGCTCGGGCTCTGTCCTGAATTGTCGCAGTTGCAACATGGCAGATATCGTAATTTATTATACATTTAACATGTATTCTCGTTTCTAATTGGTCAGGAAGCACCGGCTAATTTTCAGTATTCGGCATTTATTACGTATTTTCCGCCGATGACGTCATCAGCGTCCAATAATTGGAAATTAAACGAGCCTTACCTGGAAGGTGATGTTTGATGATAATTCTACCAAGTCCGTAGTTGTACTGAGGGTTAACATGAGATGCACGCTGTGTGTTGCCATGAGTCAGACTTTAAAACGGTTGTGGACGCAATTAAAAGATGTTTGTTAGAACCACGGGCGGGGAAAGTAGGGAAGGGCATGTTAACCCTCAGTACAACTACGGACTTGGTAGAATTATCATCAAACATCACCTTCCAGGTAAGGCTCGTTTAATTTCCAATTCTACCAAACCGTAGTTACGTACTTCCGGTTAACATGAGACTTCAAAGCAATTATGTACACAACCAACAGCACAAACATGTTATGCAAAAACATTTATTGTAACACGGCATTTTGAAACAGATTATTATCTACAATAGGTTTATTATAATGTTTCCGAAACACACAGTCTGATGACCATCCCACATGTTTTAGTATCACATCAACTGGTAGAAAGGCAGCAACTTTGCTGACACTCGCTGCCCGAGTACTGTGGGCCTTAAATATCGAAGTATCGATTCCACTTAAAGTAAGTAATTGTTTGATCCATCTGCTTAGCGTATTGGTAGTAACTGCACCATGAGGCTTTACATATGAAATAAGCAGTCTAGTGGATGTGCTGCTGCGCAATGTCGCTGTGCGGTACAAATAGCACTTCAAGGTGCGATAGACACATAACTCCTCCTGGTGATATTTGCTAACATGAAAAGTAGAGAATACATTTCCCGGTCTGTTCTGTTTTATATGTTCAGTAAGCTGGAAAACATAAGAATCTGGTGTCTCTTTCATCGACTGAATATCTAAGTATGTCAACGTTTGGCACCGTTGACCCGATGTTAGGGCTAACAGCATAACTAGTTTAAAGGAGTGATCCTTTAACGACAGCTTATCCAGCGGGAACAACGTTGCCAAATAATTTAGCACGACATTTACGTCCCATGTTTCAGAGTACTTGGGTGTTGGTTGCCTCGAGTTGAAAACACCTTTCATGTAACGAACCAGCAAAGGATGATTCGTCATAGTATAATTTGTACCGCTAAAAGTGGTATCCATTAAATAACCAGATAAAGCTGAACGAGCAGTATTAATAGTTGAATAAGACAATTCTTGTGCATACAAGGTATGAAGAAAATTTAGAACATTATTCACAGTAGGTCGCATTGAATCAATTTTCCTTGAAACAAAACTCGGTCCACTTTGTAAGGTAAACTGTATATTGTTTCTGAGTGCCGGATTTCCAGGAACACATAATGATGTCGGCAACTTCTGGAGAAACCTTGAGGTTAAGGAGGTTATGCCGGATATTTTGCATGCCATTAACACTAATTTGTGGCTCAAAGGGTGAATATTGCCCAGTAGAGGATTGGATAGAACATCCTTGGTTACCTTGAAAACTTTGGGGTGGTCTATCAGCAAACTTAGAAGACGAGTAAACCATACCTGTGTGGTCCACATTGGTACAACAATAATCATGGTTGCTTGCTCTTGAACGACTTTCTGAAGGCATCTAGTAATCAAGCAAAATGGCGGAAAAGCAAAACTGTTATCAAACAGTGCCCAGTTAATGGTGAATGCATCAACAAATGACGCCCCTGGGTCTGGTTTCCATGAAACGTAAATATCAAGTTGGTGATTGATCCTGCTAGCAAAAAGATCAATACCGGGTTTACTAAAATGATACGATGTTTTATCAAATACGGCAGGGTTTAACTGCCATTCCAATGTCATGTTAAACTCCCGAGACAGTTTATCTGCAATAATATTATGTTTCCCTGGGGTGTACGAGGCCGACAGCCAATTGTTCCGAGCAATAGCCCATGACCATATGTCTCTAGCAATATTATCACAATCTTTAGACTGACATCCCCCCATCGAAGTTATATAGGATATTGCCGTCGTATTATCGGACATAATGCGGATGTGCTGATCATGAACCTTATCAAGAAGAGCTTTTAACCCAAACTGTATAGCCAATAGTTCCAAAATATTGATATGAAATGTTGTTTCATGGGCGTCCCATAGTCCTTGTGTGTTGTGTCCATCAACTGTGGCTTCCCAACCCACCTGGGAAGCATCTGTTGTCATAGTGATATGTGGGGTACCATGATCGATTGTCCGATATGAGGTTGGAAGGAAAGAGACCCACCATTTCAAATCATCAATACTAGGTGGGGACAAACTCATTTCAGAATCGAAATTACCATTAGATCTTTTCAATGCGAGATCTTTATCATGCTCTAATGTGCGATAATGTAGGGGCCCCAACTCAACACCTGGAAACGTGGAAACTAAAGTTCCAATTAATGATGCCAGTTCTCGAATAATAATTGACGTCTGTTTTAGTAAATGTTCACATGCAGCTACTATTTTTGTTACTTTCTTGCTGGTTAGTGTAACTGTCATGGTATGAGAATTGAGCAAAAATCCTAAAAATTCCAAAAGTTGTGTGGGTTCAAAAATCGACTTAGTCGGATGGACAACAAAACCCAACCGAGTGATCAGTTGGGTTGCATTTAATGTGGCCGCTTCAGATAACTTTACCGTATCTGCAATGTAGATTGAATCGTCAATATAGCCCAAACAACAGTGGCCATATCGGCTGCGTAAAGTAGCAAACACAGGTTTCATAATTTTAGTAAAAAGACGTGGGCTACTTGTAAGTCCCATCGGCAAAGATGTGAATTGATATAATACACCTCGCCACATAAATTTAAGATATTTTCTATGTTCTGGCGTGATAGGAACGCTATAGTAGGCATCACGAAGGTCTATGGAAGTCATGAAACAGCCTGGTTTCATTAATTTAATTGCTCATTCCAGTGTGTCCATTTTAAATTTGCGATAGGTGACAGCTTTATTGAGGTTCTTAAGGTTAAATATTACGCGAACCTTACCAGTGTCCTTTTTGGGTCGCAAAAAGATTGGAGAAATAATTTCCCCATATTCAGAATGTGACTGTTCAATAATGTCTTTTGACAAAAATTCCGCAATTTCGTTATCAATGGCCTGTTGCTCAGCGGATGAAAACTTATATTCTGGATTTGACATATGTCTCGCTGGCATAGGTTCATAATCAAATTCAATTGCACAATTGCTAACACAACGCAAAACAAAAGGGTCGGATGTAATGTCCTGCCATTGTTTTACGTGAAACTTCAACTGTCCCCCAACAAAACGTGGTTGGTTATTAATTTAACTAATTTATCTATATGTTCCCTGTAACTAACCTGGTGAGGAGTGATTAGTTGCGACTGGGTTTTGTCTGTGTTGCACCCATTTTGGCTCCTAGTCGGCGTCGATAGGAGCCTCTGCCTCCGAAAAAAGATGAAAACTTCGAGGAACGGGAGCTCTGTTGTCCTGACCACTCATGGGCCCAGTACCGCTGTAGTGTGGCGATGGTGATCCTGCATATGGGTGATATCGTTGCCCACGGCCTCTGCGCAAACTGGAAAGCTTATTACCAAGTTGGTTAGCTTTGGCCACTTGATCAATTTCTTTACTGATATCGTCCCCAAACAATTCGGAGGTTATGGGTGTTGATGGATTACAGAGTGTGGCATATTGAGAATTAAGGCTTGGCCGCAGTAACTCACGTCGCCTGAGATTAAATTCTCTGTTGCCAGACATGGCTAGAACCAGCGCGTGTGTTAAAATCTTCTAACATTTCCTGTGACTTGCTCACATGCTTGAATAATGGCATACATTGCCGAGGTAAATAACTTTTGACATTTCTGCATGGCACTGTCGGTGGTTCGGACACTTTGCTTGAGATGTTGCCAAACAATTTTGTTAACTTTTGGTACAACCAGGCTTGCGCAATTCTCTGGGCGAGGATATTTATTGATTACCTAGTCCAGTTTCGTCTTAGGCAAAGTGTCTTTGACTAAATCACTTATAATTAAATATTAGCCAGTTTGTCATCAATTGCCGGTGCCGTTTTGTCTGTGGTAGAAAATTCCGCAGCTAACTCGTCAAATGCACTCGACGTCGAATTAGGGTCTGGAGGCTGTAGATAATTTTCGATGGCAGCCGACACATCGGGTGAGGGTTGATCACTATTTGCCTCAACATCACCAGTGTTGGCCTCAGGCTCAGGAGCGGCAAAGTACTCCTCAAACTGTCTGAGCATATCGTCTTTCATGACCGACATCATTTCAGACATCATTGAAGCCATCGACTTTTTTAAATCAGTCGTATTATCTGTGGTCAAATCAACAGATTGTTCCGTGTTTGTTTGGTCAGTCATATTCACAGCTAA